TTTACGAAAATGGTGACAACGACGAAGTTCCTACAATTAAGAGTCAAGTTAAACTTCATTTAAATCAAGTAATATCCTACTTATCTTTATAATATTACGATTAATAACAGTACTAAATTGTTGACAAAGTAATTTTTAAATTGTTTCGAAAAATAACTAAAGCTTAACTTTATATAAAGACATACTGTAATGTAATTTTTTTTTGTTGTTTAATATTTTCTTGAATATTTGAGGGGGACTGTTGGAAATCAAATATCCAAGTCTATTAGTCTGTGATTAATAAAACTTTATATTGTACGTGGATATGTTTGATCTGTTTTTCTTTCTCTTTACTCTTTCACTTGCTTTAGCAATTGTATTTTTAGTACTTTTTCTATATAAAAATCCATAATATAGAAATCATCTTTATAGTTTTTATTTTCCCTGAGCCCATATCAATAATAGCGTTAATTTATTATAACAAATAAAAAATATATAAAAATAAAGAACGTTATAATATATACATATGAAAAGGATGAAATAGTTTTACAGTGAAAGGATAATATGAAAAATAGTTTTAAGATGTGAAAAGGAAATAATTTCTAACTTCATCGCTAAAGGATCCTAATGATTGGGCTTTTGTGACACCCTCAGGAAGAGAATTCCACAGACGTACAGCATGCACAACAAAAGAATATAAATAGAAATCTGTAGAGTGACGAGGAATTTCAAGAGTAAGATTTGAAGAGGAACGCAACGTATATTGAGATGAAGGAACGAAAAGAGAATGATTGTTTAAGATATGGTAGAGATGTTGGAAGGAAAAGTATAGAGTAAAGAACCGTAAGAGTATGCAAAATAAGCCGTATTAGTCATATGGGATCACACTTCTAGAGTGGCAGTCATTAAATGTGAGCTCCACCCTAAACAGAATGAAAGGATAGCATGTTAGACGAGGAATATGTATCATTTTGAAAGGTTGTATGCATGTGTGAAGTAGTGTCCTCTGGTTTCTTTAGACAATTCTTCAAAATTTTCTCTAGTCTAAAATTTTTCTGGGGTTGTGGGGGAAATGTCGTAACTAACCTTTTGTTTCGTTTTCATTCCTTAGATGCATATCATTAATTTTGCTAACACCGATAAACTTTTTAGTGTTTTCCATTTATATTCTTTACTTTTTTCCATTCTATAACTGTGGACCTTCAATTTTATACCTAAACATTAAAATTCTTCTGTAATATAAACTTATCCAAATCTCTACGAACTTTCATTCTATGTTTTGGCCTACTTACATTAATGTGAACCCTTATCTGTAGCTTTCATAGTTTTTCGTTATACATTTAACCAATTCTAATCATATTAAAGCACTTATTTATATATTTTTGACACTATTTTTGCTGTAATTAAACATCAATAAGTAAATACTAACAGTACTCTACTAAACCTCCTTCACCACCTTCAAGCTTGGACTTCGCCGTTGACCCACGACCCATCACCAGAAGCCTTGCGTTGACGACGACTATTTCTACGCTGATGGAACGGAACTTCACCGCTGACCTGTGCCCCATCATCAGAACACCTACGCTGACGACGGCTATTTCTACGCTGATGGAACGGAACTTCACCGCTGACCCACGCCCCTTCACCAGATCACCTACACTGACACTCTCACTCTCACTACTTCACTACTCACCTCACCAGTCACCTCGTCCCTTTTATTTTATTTATTTATTGTAAATAAATTATTTTATTTAATTTACCATCTTTTAGTTTATTTATTCTTGTTTCATAACAATATGTGTAAAACAGGTAATTCTTAATTCGTTCCGATTGTAAGAGATTTTAGTTTGCAGTAAACATTATTCTGTCCTCTATCTTTACCACCAAAATTCGCAGCAGCGTTATCAGCAGAAAATGCTATCAGCTTGTCAGGCAGGTTTTTGTTACGCAGAGAATCAAATACGTAATTAGAGATCGTTTCTGAAGTTTCATTTTGTTGTGATTGGATGTCTATTAGCGAAGCTTGAATTCCGTTTTTCTGAGGATCAAAATATTGAATCACCAGTGGGAATAACTTCACTGCCCATGATTGCTGACATCAGTGGAAGCGCTAATATATTTTACTTTAGAAAGCTCGTCCATTTTTTTTACAACAATGTTTTTCACAACTATTTCAAACAATGGAGCAAGAACATTTTTTAAAATAGCCTCGGCCTTTGTGCGCGCGCTAGTAACTTCTTTGGCAATATATGAATCAGCATAAATTCATTTTTGAAGCGGTACTGTACAGTCTAATGAATTAAATGACTGATTGTGCTTTACAGTGTGAAATACCAAGGTAGCTTCAGCTGCTTGTACTTCTTTTTTCAGACCTATGTTCGCTCTGATGAAATTGTAAATTTTTGAAAAAAATAATATTTTGTGCCTGTCATCATATACAACGCAATATAATAAGTAAAGAAACTTAAACCTATTTTATATATCGCACGTTCGATGCATCTGAGCCTTCTGAAAAAAAAACAAGTTGTTTTTAAATCTGAGATCAACTTTTCTTGTGAATAAGGTCCTAAAACACTGCGTGTAATTGCTGTGGCCTTAGTACGTACACGTGTCATTTTCGCACTTATTTGTCTATCTGGAATAATTTTGTGTATATTTTTCCCAAGCAGTCCAAACTATTGTAATTCAAACCATGTTTGACATTATGGTAAATTAACGCCACTTCTGCATTAATGGCCGAAATCTCTTCCTTGTATCTTTATTGATGAAAAAGTTGTCCATGCATCTTAAATTTTTTTGGCTGACATCACTTTTTTATGTCTTTATATATTGGTTGTCGTAATGGATGTTTTGAAGCATAATTATAAATACGAAACGGCAACATCTAGGGAGACGAGATTAAGTAGTAGAAGAAAAGACATACAAATTTCGCTTCACCCAAAATTAAATATTGTAAAACATTGTAGTCGATATCAGGCAGTCAAACTTTATAACGCCCTGCCGACGGAGTTAAAAGCTATCGAAAGTCCTAATAAATTTAAAACTAAATTGAGGCAACTTCTATTAGACGGTTCTTTCTATACGCTGGAGGAGTTCTATAGTGGTCAGTGCATCTTACCCAACGGATAATTAATAAAAACTACCATAATGTTTAAGTGTCTGCATGATTTTTATGTAATTTTATTTTGATTTGTTCTTGTACCATTCAAATACAATTGTAAAAAATTGTTAATGCTGTAATGCTGTATGAATTATAATAATAATAATAATAATAATAATAGCACAACCGCGAGATACACAGTCTCCGTAACTACTTCCTGGCGAAATCGGAATCCAGTGAGTTGCATAGAGATGTCAAAGCATGTGATGTAGGACTAACCCCTCTCTCTTTGGCCACCGAGCAATGGCGAGAACCGGCAGTACTTAGCACCACTGACCGAGAGGCCATTTGGAGGGAGAAGGAGTTGCACGGTAGGTTCTACAAGGCGCTACACGAGCGTCATGTGGATCCGAGAACCTCCGTGCATTGGCTGCGCTTCGGGGACCTCTTTGGGGAAACCGAAGGTTTTGTCTGTGCAATACAGGACCAGGTCATTATGACCCGAAACTACCGGAAGTATATCCTGAAGGATGGGACAGAGGATGTTTGTAGAGCCTGTCACCAGCCCGGTGAGTCACTCAGGCATATTACTTCCGGTTGTCCTGTACTGGCTAATACCGAGTATTTGCACAGACATGACCAAGCAGCCAAAATACTCCATCTCGAGCTAGCCTTCAAATACGGCCTCATAGGCGAAAAGGTGCCGTACTATAAGTATGTGCCGGAGCCAGTTCTTGAAAATGACCGCGCTCGATTATACTGGGACCGGTCCGTCATTACGGACAGGACTGTTCCTGCGAACAAGCCTGATATCGTACTGATGGACCGGGCGGAATCTCGGGTGTTCTTAGTGGATGTCACCGTCCCATTCGATGAAAACCTCGTGAAAGCCGAATCAGATAAAAAACTTAAATATCTGAACCTGGCGCACGAGGTTACCGATATGTGGCGAGTGTCATCCACTGAGATCATCCCAGTCGTAGTGTCAACGAATGGCCTAGTCCCGACTTCTCTTCACGACCATCTGAAGAGGTTGGGACTCCGTGACGGACCAATGATTGCGAGGCTCCAGCGGGCGATCTTGCTCGATAACGCAAGGATCGTCCGCCGTTTTCTCTCTTTGTCGCCCTGACCCCCGGCTGTCTGGCCTCCTCTGCCGGGGGGAATCCTCCCCCCCCTCGAATCGTCGAGGGGTATAATATGCTTGGTACTATTGACGTGAACCTACAACAAGGCAATACAATTTATAAAACTATTACGACAATAACTATCATAAATAAATAAATTATAACCCAAGATAAATATTTTATATTTGAACAATTTTGCTATATGTACTGGAAAGTATTCCTAATCAAGTATGCTTAAAAAATCCATCAGCCCAAGGTACTTTGAGATATTTATGAAATATGTCGCTTCAAGAGCATATGTCTGTTCTTATCAATACTTCCGTTTATGGTCTATTTTGTGGACATCTGGATTTTTCAATTTTGTCCGCCACATTATTTAAATTTAAAGCTTCTTGGTTTTTGTGTAACTTTTTCGTATAGTTATTGTTATCAGCATCGTCTGTGTCACTTTGATTCATCATGTCCGAAAGGATCTTTTCATCTTCGTTGTAACTTGAATTGTTGGATCTTTTTACGATGCACATCATTACGTCCCAATCAGTTACTGGCTTAGAACATTCGTCATGTACATGCTTAAATAATTCTTTTTTGGGTATTTAAGTATGCTATTTTTTCCCATCCCGGTCGACATCTCATAAGTTTAATTTTTTTCCTTCGATGGTTTGCACAATCTTATATGGCATCTTGAATCTGAAATCATAATGATAAGACTTTTAGTAAAATGAAGTATTCATGAAAAACATACTATCTTATTACCTATATTCACAATAACTGGACCCACACATATACATTTCTTATGGACACAAAAAAAAGTCCATTGGGGACAAATCTGGGCTGCGGGGTGGCCAGTTAATGTCACATCTCTTGGATATCAATTTATTGCCGAAAATTTCACGTATTGCTGCTAAGGAGTCATTTGAGGCGTGTCCCGTCTTGTTGAAACCAGCTTCTTTGATTGAAGCCAGAGAAGTCCTGTAACGCTGGTACAAAAAAGCTCTGTATCATTGCAACGTATCGCTCTGTGTTAACTGTGAGGGGACGACCTCTCTCATCTTCGTAAAAATAAGGACCGATAATTCCTCTAGCTGATAATGCTGTCCATACAGTGACTTTGGGCGAGTGTAAAGGTTTTTCGTGTTTTAATTTTGGGTTGGTGTCACTCCAGTACCCACAATTTGTCGATTGACGAAGCCATTCAGAAGAAAATGTGTTTCATCTAAGAATAAAATGTTATTGAAGCTCGAAATCTTCTGCAGCATTTCATCAACAAATTTAAGCCTCTGAACGTGGTCACTGGGCTTCAAAGCCTGTACAATTTGAATTTTATAAGGGTATAGATGTAGGTCCTTGTGTAAAATGCGATTTAGAGATGTTCTAGGCAAATTCAAAACGCTAGCTCTCTTACGCGTCGATAGTCTAGGTTGCTCCTGAATAGACTCACTTACTCGTTCTACGTTCACAGGTTTCCTAGATGCCCTGGGTCGACTGGAATGTGGTTCACGTTGATCCCGTCGCCTCGAATTTATGTACCCATTTCTGTATAGTTTGAACACTTGGAGCATGTTTTGCATTGCGTATATTGTAATAAGCCTTCCTACGGCCACAGAATCGTTATCTCGATAATACTCGCGCACGCACAGCGCACGTTCTGCTCCGCTAAACGACGCCATGGCACTAAATCCCTATTGGCTGTGTCTGCGTTTGGTACCCTCCCCGCCCCGCTAAACCCGAAGTAACAGCCGTTTTAAAAGTTAACTCTCTATTGGTCCACCCTGTATGTTAAGTGTTCGTTGACATAAACTATAGAATGAGATACATTGATAGCCAACTTAGCGGTGTCGAGCCCTTTAATCACACGGCATGCTGAGATTATGTTCTCGCGTAACATTCTTGATGATAATTTCACTATTATATTTTTAGGGCGTGGTGATTTCGGGTCAGCATGAGGCACCCGATGAATAGCCAAAATTTCTGAAGAACGAATAGGCTGTTTGATAATGTTTTCCATTGGACCTCCACTATACTAATAAGATTCTCCCCACGTCGTTCCGGCAAGTTACATATTTCCAAGTTACTTTGTCTATTAGGGACAGTCACAAAATATCATTTTCGTACCGTTTTAGTTTCCTTTTGCTTCAATGAGTATACGTTTGGCATGCTTGCAATGCATTGTTTGACATTTTCTATTATTTTCGGATTGTGGTGCCAGACATTTATTAACTTTTCTGCCAGTTTTACCTTGGTAGTACATTGCTTTGGCAATTTCCGCCTTGGTAATCTCCCACAAGTTCTCAATGGGGTTCATGTCTGGAGAATTGCCAGGCCAGGCTAAACCTGGGATATTATTTACTGCTAGAAACTTTTATTTTATGTCATGGAGCTGGATCATGTATAAACATAAATTCAAAGTGGTATTTTTCTCCTGGGTGTCAGCCAAAATCTCAAACGTCGACTCGTCAGAGAAACACACTTAAATAAGGAAAGATTTTTATTTTTTGGACACACAATACTATTTTACATATCGTGAAATTACAGAAAAAGTCAAAACTAACCTTATTCCAGCCTTCAATAGTCTTCTTGCGGTGTTCCTTAGCCCATAAAAGGCATGTTTTTTTTTTCAGATAAGCGAGGTTTTTTGCCGGACGATGACCTAACAATCCTTCTGCCAATCACCGCTGTAGCGTTCTCTTGGAAACTTGTATTCCTGACTCTTGAACTAACTGGGTTAAAAGAACAGCACTTTTTTTTCTGTTTCCCAGATAAATATCCCGAATCATCCTGTCGGAACGCGGATTTGTAATTCTTTTTCTTCCACTATGACCTTTTCGTTTTGACGAAAGTTGATTACCATTTTTTTTTTATTTTGTTTACTGCCGACTTGGAAAGTCCACTAAGTTTAGCTATATTCCTTTGTGAATGATTTGTGTGCTGGGGTAAAGTTATTACTACGGTTTTTTTTCTAGGAGACATTTCGCACCCGCGTGGGTACAATGGAAGCCGAAAATATTGAAAATAATATTTTTTACACCAAAAATGTTATTTATTAATGAAAACAACAAAAAATTCATTATACTCACATTTTTAATATTTTTCACAGCAAATATTTAAATAACTTGGTTCAAAATATTCGAATACGTATTTCACTGTTTCGCCTCTATAGTGCTCTGCGTCCTCCAGTCGTTGAAATATTTAATAAATACCAATTATGTCATTTACCACTCAACAAACATTTATAATTTGAATCATAGGAATATGCCAAAAATAAAAAAATACATTCCCACATAGCTTGCACTCTTCAAGCAGCATTCAAGTGCACTTAAAATAACAAATTGAAAAAATGTGACCTTCCATAATAATTTCGCAAACCACTGTATACTAATATGTATCTGGTACCGACGTTCTAAAAAATATACTAAAGTTGATAATTAACATTTCAAACAGGCGTTAAATGCTGTAATTTATAAGGTGCTTTATAGATAAATATTTCGTAGGAATACTAAACTATACGACGAAAGCAACCTGAATTAAGGATTTTAATAACTTCGTATAGAAGCCTGACTTTACAACACTCTTAGATACTGGCATTGTTGTTATTCGAGTATAGTATTATACTTGAAGGAAGACAACACTCTTAAGGAAAAAGTCGCTATTTTCGATCACTTTCTATCAACATAACAAATTTACTTTTTAAAACAATAATTGGGTAAAAATTTACCCAATTATTGACTTGATTAATTTATATGTTACGGCTAATACCCGAAATGCTGCTACACCTAGTTTTAGCCGGTTAGAACTAGGTGTAGCCACTTACTCTTGGTTAAACCTGGTGGTGCGTGGTGGTGGGCCGAGTCGTGGTGGCTCACATGTTTGATGGAGGGATGCGAGTTTCTAGACGTTTGGCTTTTTTTAGAAAAACCCTGCATCTGCGACTGCTGGCGGGGTGATCCAATACACAGTTTGCGCAGGTGGCCGGTTCATTTCGGTCACATGGGCAGTTAGCTGGTGAGTGGTCGCCGGCGCATCTGACGCATTTTTTCGGGCGGTGGCAATTGACGGAGTTGTGATCGAAGGCCTGGCATCTGTGGTATTGGGCGGGTCCTTTCTTGGGTTTCCACGCCTCGATGACGATGCCGGGCATGTTCATTAGTACCTCAGTTTCATATAGGCGCTGGAGAGTTTGGCGGTCCATGGGCTTCAATTGTACATGAAACAATGAACCGGATCTGTCTCTTCTTGCTGGGATGAAATTGGCCAATGAGGGAGTAAATCCCATTTCTTCAAGGGCTTCAATGATGTTGTGGGTAGGGGTGTCAGCTGGAAGTCCTTTGATGGCGACCTTGAGCGTAATCTGTTTTGGTAGGGAATATGAGTACCACACAAGGTGAGTTTCTTTTTCAGCTTTCATGAGGTAATCATGGATTATGAGATATTCCCTTTGGGATTTTGGCAGGAATCTGACCCCCTTGCCGAAAGGACGGGCATTCGGGGACAAACCTAGAAGGTTTTTTAGTTTCAAGAAGTGGTCGGTCCAATTCGGTAGGGATTCCGCAACTATTGGTGGAAATCGCTTGGGTTCGTTGACTTTAGAGTCATCCGGAAGTGGCGGGGTGTGTGAAGTGGGTGAGGCTTGTTTGGCGGTCATCTGGGCGTATGTCCGACTGCCTGGTAGGCGTGGGATAGTGGCGTATGAGGTTGAAGCGTAGCCCTCTCGAGAATGGGGGCGCGACTGCGTAAGGTTGGTGGAGTCGGAGCGATAGTCGTCATCCGAGTCCAGGTGGTAATCATGCTGCGGTGATCTGAAACGAGGGCGTTTCTTATCTCCTTCTAGGATGACATCGGAGTCGTCTGAGTCGCGTTCCATCCTGTGGCGGCGAGGATCTCCGGGGTGCAACTTTTTCGATGGAGGGATGGGGGAGTCCAGTTTCGGAGAAATTGTTCTCTCATTCCCTTTAGTAGTTAAAGCCGTTGAGCCTAGGATTCTAGGCGTAGGCTGTGGAATCTGGGTTTGGGTGCCTTCTTGGCTTCTACGTCCGAGATCAGGCGATTTTCTTGTTGGAGAATCCATGAGGTCCGTGTATACGATGGAAGAAAGATGAAATGGTAGCGGCTTGAGGGTGGATAACACTATTTTTTATAAAACTAAAAAATGTGGGTATCCACAAAACAACAAACGCAGATGGCGTCTTTATCGCGAATTCACTGCAATCCTTGGGTTGCTGGAGGGAGTCACTCGCGGCGACGCGAGCGACACTGTCGAGTGCCCGGGGAACTTCGGGCCGTAAAGGGGGGCTCGACGAAGCTAGGAGCAACGGACCGTGCACGACCTCTCGCGACGAAGACTCAGGAAACACTCAGTTTTCGTCTCGAATCCGATTCCACCTTCCCTTTTCTTTTATACCAGAATCCCTTCCCGCTAACTTTAATTACCGATTACAAGTCTCCACCAATCACGAACGAGTTCATTAGATTTCGTTTAGGCGCCAAACACCGAAACTGTAGTGAATTCCGCTACGAAATATTCTGATATTCTAGTATATTATTCTAATAAAATAATCAACCGCTACTAGAATATACATATTAAGTATTTCAATATATTTAATATTCCTTTATGATAGCATTTTCATCAATAAATCTATGTAACGAAACTTGATATTTCAATCATAACCTATTAATGCCCGTAATCATGACCTGGCAACAGGAATCTTGGTATAACTATTTAAATACTAAGTAAAGTTTGTTGTTCATTTTATTAATATTTTACGTCTTTTATAATACATACAAGTAATATAGATGGCCCCAGAAATAAGTATATGACGATATCTTATTATTTAATAAGTATTTTATATAGTTACAATTTGTTACAAAATTCCTAGATTTGTCCAGAGAGGTCTTTTATGCAATGGACATTTTATGTAATTTAAGTTGTAAACCTATATAACAAGATTAATGATAGATTTCATTATAATATTGTTCAACAGTAGAAATCTAAATTTAGACCCAATTGTAAACAAAATACTAGCAAATATCGTATAATTTAGTCTAATTAAAGTGTTTATTAAGTTGAACAATAGTAGGATTGGTATAAAACGTTCACCGAATTTACTCGATAAATGATATAATTGTATCCTGATGTTTGGCAGATCCATGAGAAGAATATGGAATTTCCAGTTCTTAAAGTGAAGCACAGTTTCGATTCAGGCACTTTCTTTGCTATTCTGATGTTGATGTCAAGATATTTAGTTCCCATTTTCACCATGTTTTGTGGCTAATAAACACTGGAACTGTTCCAATAAACTTGACTTCATAGTCTGTAGGTCTTCATTCACAGCCATTCTGAATTCAAACGTATGAGTGCGCAAAAACAAAAGATACGTCTGTTTTGTACAACGGCACAACGCGTACTAAACTCAAAGCGCAAGGGCAAACGCGGGTGTACGGGTGGCGGGCAGTGCAACGTATGAGTGCGCAAAAACAAAAGATACGTCTGTTTTGTACAACGGCACAACGCGTACTAAACTCAAAGCGCAAGGGCAAACGCGGGTGTACGGGTGGCGGGCAGGGGCGCGCGAGCGCGACGCGACTCGCGTGAGCCAGGCGCCTGTTACTTGTTTCAACTTGTTTGCATCTAGTTTTATCCAACAGGGAATGGCTGGACCTAGTTGTAGCCGGC